AGGGGGGCTGGGCTCTGCCCCCCAACCCAGGCCTGAACATTGCCCAGGCTCTGCAGACTCAGTGAAGCTGTGAACCAACTATTTTATACAAATCAGTATTATTCACCACTGCACTCCCCCCCTCCCCCGCCCCTCTGTTAAGAAACAAGTACTTGTATGTAATCCTGATTAGAAGTGTACACAATATACTTTTGGATTTGTGTGCTGTTCAGCTTTTTCTTATGAAACGTCGCCACGCAGTAGTGCATTAGTCTGTGCAGACGCTGCAGATGGCTGGTGGTTCTGCAGGCCAAAGTCCGCCTCGCTGCAGAGTGATCAGTGATCTCTTGCTATGACGCGGCTCACCTTTTGCGGTCTCACTGCTTCTCGGATTTTTTTGGGGCAGTTTTTTTCAGTGCATTGTGTTCTGTGTCCTGACTGGCTAAACGGTCTCCGAGCTCCTTCTCTACCTGTGTGCCAATAACGTTACAGTATTTAAATAGAAGTAATACAGATTGGCCATTCAGGAGATGAAAGCTGAAAACTTTGAATGCCTGCTGGAAAAAACTGTGGCCAGAGGCAGTGTTAAACCTGACTGGAAGCTTGCTTGACGAGATCCGTCACTCTGCCATGGATACAGCTGTGAATGTCGCGGGGCAGGTTGGAGGAGACGCTTTAAGGACATGACTCCGGATCACATCAAGGCCCAATTGATGCACACACACATCCACTGATCTGAAAGCAGGTTTTGTTCTTTGGTTTCAATGTAGAGTATCTAATTATGCTGTGCAATAATTGTAAAACATAAAGATAACTCTACTTCGTGGATTTCGCTTATCGCAGGTTGTTTTCAGAACACAACCCCTGTGAAAAACAAGGGATCACTGTATTAAAGTTAATCAGTTACAGACATTGTTCTGAGTTATCTCCATTTACATAAATGTGATTGTCTGACACTACGAGAGGATAATGAAACTGATCCTATTCACTCTTCTGTAATTCAGTTTTGCATTTATTTATTTATTTATTTATTTATCTATTTATTTATTTATTTATTTCCATATAAAAATGCATCCAGCAAGAGATTTTTGTTTTTGTAGATGAATGTGAATAAGCGTAGGGATGGATATGGATTCTTCTACAGTGCACATAAGAATATTTGGTCTACATGTGGTTCCCTTCTTTATCCTCCTTTGAATTAAGTTAAAACTTTTTTTTTCTTTTGTGGGAACATTTGAGTTTGACCAGCTGCTGATCTTCTGGCTTCTCTTTTTCCATATGAAATGTTTTTTTTTGTACACATTTTAGTTTAGCTACAGATTGCATCAAGCCACATTCTAACCAGACAACATTGATATGTATTGTCCTTATTTGCACTTTGGGGTGCTGAAATGTTTTATGATCTGTCGAATGCATTTACCCTGTGTTTGCTTTTATCAATAAAAGTACCATTAAACACATTTTTATGATTTCTTTATTACTTTTGATTGGGCTCCAACGATGACACATGCAGAGTGGAAAAAAAAATTAGACTTTAACCATGATTTACTTTTATTGTTTGTGTGGAGAGCTGCTCTTGCATGAGTTTGTGCTGCAGCCGACTGGTTGGTAATCCAGAAGGTAAACTAACATTGATATGCTGATGTAACTCAGCTGGCAGTGCGAGTTTCAGCTCAACATGATGTCATGTGCTCAACAGATTCAACGCCAGAGCTGAAACTAAACTCAGTCATTGGTGGTGGTAATTTTTACTTTGTCTACATTTTGCTGATGGGTTTTATGCCTTTATTCCTTTTTACAGCAGATTTTTAAATCCCATGTCAGCCTCTCTGAAGGGAGATGTCTCATTTGGCAAGATGGGAGAGTCCCTCAGCCTTGGTTAGCAGGATTCTACCTCGGTGATTTTGACAATTCAAATTTTAAGAGTTCCCATTTGTTACAAAATGTTCTTTCTACCAAAGATTTATGCCAGAAGCGTTGGACTAAAGAATGAACCATTTTAGACATCGCCTCATGTTTAAGGACAGAGCTGTTCAGTTTCCAATAAGACCCCCCAAGGAGGAGTACTGGGATTCACTCGTTTGAATTGTTCCTTGATGCCTTCTCAGGCGGTGGACAATGTCTGTCATCTGAGATTTTCTGTTGCGAGTCAGGTAACATGGCACAGAAGATGTTCACAATTTTGGGTTGCCTTCAGTTCCATCTCCTCCCATAACTATCCACCTCATTCAGTTTCAGTTGCAGTTCAGCAATGTACCAGTCATAATTTTCGTTGGAACATTTGATCGCTTTCATGTCGGTTTTAAGAGATTCAACTTCTGCAAAAGCAAAGTCTATGGATTATTTTCAGGGTTTCGATGTCATACCATTTTTGTAGTTCAAAAGTTCCTTCTCTTTGCGTTTCTTTCCCTGTTCGTGTAGTTTCATGCTAGCAAAGTATGAAATTGCACACTGCGGTGTTGTAGCTATATTTAGCTTGGCTGTATTGGCTGTGCGTTCCGGTCGGCAGAAAGGTTAGTTATAATAACATTAATAGAAGAGGGCGATCTTTAAGAGTTCGTGAGATTGTTCACAATATATTCGCGGATATTTAGCGCATTATATAGAGGATCAAGGTATGAAAGTAAGGATAGAGATTTGAAAGGCTGCTCAAGCACTGAAGCTTACGTTTGGCTCGGTCGCCATCTTGCTCGACAACCTACCTGAGTTTCGGTGTGGAGGAGGAAGAGAAGGAGGAGGAGGAGGGATTTAAGGGCCGAGCCAAGTGAGGGAGAAACGTATTCACACGTATCGGCTCCGCAAGGTGTTTAGTGGGATAAACGTTTTTACAGTCATCGTTTTTCGTCGGCCTGCCTCGTCTGAGTTGACTCTACGTGGAGTGGGTCTGTGGGAGTTTGGACCCGCACACGGGACACGGACGGCTTCCTTCCCAGCTGCCCAACAAGCAAGGCTTACTCCTACTTAAACACAGGTAAGTTTGATCGTTTTTACAAAACGCGCTTCATTTTTCTTTCCTGTCGGTTTTCTTATAGCCAACTGTGTGTTTTTTAAGTCGCTTTAATTATATTTTTCTGTATTTAGTCGGCCAGGATGGCGGTCACCCCGCGACGCGTCCGCCTCAAGCCGTGGCTGGTGGCCCAGGTGGACAGCGCTCGGTACCCGGGTCTGGTTTGGGTCGACCGGGAGGCCATGCGCTTCAGGATCCCCTGGAAACACGCCACTAGACACACACCCCAACACGAAGACGAGGACACCATATTTAAGGTAAATATTTATTTAGATTGTCTCGGCTGAAGGAAAATCGGTTTGAAATGAGAAGATTTTATCTTGGGACTCACGACTATATATACTGATTATGCTTCATTCATTTAATTTTTTTTATTGCCTTTTTGCTTGTTTGCTAAGAGATCCCGACTTTTCTCGAGACGCTGAGAAACTTTATCCGTATCAGGATCGGTCCATATCGACATAATCACAGTGATGGAGGACACTCTATAGATGTATAGATTTTTATTTCGAGCTTGAGCATAAAGGCATCAAATCAGTCCTTGACATCAGACATGGTTTTTGTATAAGTGAGGCATCTGAAGAGGGTTTTCAGTGCGCAGGGACTCATTCGGTGCAAGTCCTATTCCGACTTAGTTTTGGTTGAATTCATTCATAACCAGCTGCAGAACCCTGGACAGCTACACGGTTACCGATGGATGTACGCTAAATGCAGAGAGCATGAACTTCGTGTGAGAAAATATGTGCTCTTGGTGTAAAAGGAATTGGAACCCCAAGCGTGGCAGACGGAGAAATTACTTTTGTCTCTTTGCATTATGTCTTCCTTAGGGCCGCAGAAAATGATGCTAGTCGTCCATTTCGCGGGATCTCGAGAAAATAAGTCGGGATTTCTTTTCTCTTTTTCTCAATGGCTTCGTAATAAACGGCAACAAGCATATCCTGCGTCTATTTAAAAAAAAAAAAGCATTTAGCGTTTTAGACATTGTGTGATATATTTTCTGTAAATACACTTAAGCTGTTTTTATTTTTCCTGAAAGTTGTGATAAATAAAACTGGTGACTTAAATTAAATGTGTCTTTAACAATCAATTGTCAGCATCTGTCGCTACCAAATATTGAAGTATTTTTAAAAACATTTGTTTTATAAGGTTTGATTTTGATAGTACCTCTGTAAAGCTACCTGAGCCCAGAATATAGCCTGGTTAAAGTGATCACATGATCATTTTCATGTCTGATCAGATTTTTTTTATTCATTTTAGATTTAAAATGTCATTATTACAAGTCTTTAATTCAGTTGAAACACAACTTTCCCAACCCTTGCGTTTATTTTGTTGCACGTCTTCTGCTTTTTGCACTTATTGTGATCAATGCAACACCAATCGGTAAATATTTAGAACAATGAGACGTTCTGGAACATATAAAAATGTAATTGATCTCGTTTCTGTGACTGCTTCGTCCAGGCGTGGGCTGTGGAGACCGGGAAGTTTCAGGAGGGAGTTGATGAACCTGATCCCGCCAAGTGGAAAGCCCAGCTTCGGTGCGCCCTGAACAAAAGTCGGGAATTCAAACTGGTCTATGACGGCACCAAAGAAGTCCCCATGAATCCCTTAAAGGTGTACGATGTCTGCGACATCCCACAACCCAACAGTGACCAAAGTAAGTACAAAGTTCTTCAGATGTTCTAGGGATTTTCATTGTTTTTCCATCTGTCAATGTTTTGTTTTCTTTTCCTGATAGCTCCTTCAGATGCAGGATCACATACTCTCTACGATGAGGATTTTGGAGAGGATCCCACACCAGATTCTCTTCGCCCAAATCCATCCACTGGTGATTGTTACAGCCTTATATTGTTGCAAATACGTGGAGGAATTGATGGAAAACAAAAAAGACAACTCCTCTGTCCTCTTTCATCTTTTAGGCACCAGTCCTTCTCCACTCATGTGGCCTCTGATGGGTTCCAATTCTTCCATCCAGCCTCCCTGCTGTCCACCTTCGAATGAGGTCTGGCCCAGAGAGGAGCCCGCAGATGTAGAGCTGCCCCCCACAAACATGGATGAGCTGCCCCCTGCCCCTCTGCCTGACCCCATCCTGCAGCCGGCTCCTCTTTCTGACGTCTTTGCCTCTCCAGAAACGTGGATCAGCTCCCTCCCAAGTTAGTGTGAACAACTTTATCCCCTTGCAGAAATCAACTTTGTGTCACACAAAAATTAGTTGACTGAAATTTGTTTTGAAAGTTTAGCTGCAGAATTCAATTCCAAAAAAAAAAAATCTAAATTTAGCAAAATAAGGTTTTAAAAACTGAAAAGGGCATGAAATGTTGATGCCTTTCTGGATCAGGTTCTCTAAAACAGATGGAAGTGATTTTACTATCCATCTTTTCTTAAATCATCCACAAACAGGTTAACTTTGCCAGATCATCTCTTTGTCTGCCTGCAAGTTTTTCTGTTTTTTTTAACCATCATGTTTATGGTAAATTACTAAATCACACTTTAATAAATAATTTGCATGTATTAAAAACCATTGATCAGTCATTAATAGACTTGCTAAAGACCCAGTTTCCAGACCTTCTGGGAAATCATCTGAACATGGAGATTTACATCTGATTTTACAGTCCCTCATTTTACCGTCTCCAGTTTTTGTATTTTGAAAACATGAACTGCAGCCTCGGGGTACACAGTTGCACGTTGCCATGCAGAAGTGACTAAGCTTGTAAAAACCTGTTGAAGTGTTTTGTCATTCAAAACACTCCTCCTTTGAGGAGCAAGGTTTGCTATCTCGATCTCCACTAGGATCCCTTTCATGAATGCAGACTGCATGCAAGGTGGAGATAAGAACTCCTGCAAGCCCACTTAAAAAAAAAAACAACTTTGTTGCACTTTTTGTATTTCAGGTCATGAAATGGGAGTTAAAAACAAATGGTGGATTCAAGCCAGAATTATCCTGATCTCTACGATTGTTTGGGGAAAATATACGACGGACAAACTGAAGAGACAAAAGTATTTTTGGAAGTTGTGCATCATATCTGGGGTAAAATCACCCCAGAAAAGTGACTATTTGATTTGGAGCTACTTTGTCTTAGGATCTGGGTGACTGGTCATATTTGATGGAAGCATAAGTTATGTGTCAGTTCATCATGCAAACTATTTCTTAGTCCAACACTCCTAAGAACGGATGTAAATGACATTGTTGTGCTGAATGCAGGGAGTCGGGAAGAACAAGACCTTCGTAAAGAGACAGACGCCCAATTTAAAGGTGTTAAACTGCAAAGTCAAATTTCTTTTAAGTCGTGTTTGACAGATGCAGCATTTTTATAACTGAAGTAGTAACTTGTTTGTGCCATTTCTGTGCTTTAGAGGATCTCTAATTTGGTGTCTGTCTGAACCAGTGACAGACTTGGAGGTCCAGTTCCTGTACAGAGGGAAGGAGGTGTCTCCCACCGTGACTGTGAGCAACCTGCTGGGCTGCAGGCTGTTCTACGGGGACCTGGGGCCCATCCTCAACCAGGAGGAGCTGTTTGGACCCGTGAACCTGGCACAGCTGCGCTTCCCGACCACGGAGCACATCACCAACGACAAGCAGAGGATCTTCACCAATCGGCTGCTGGATGTGATGGACCGAGGTCTGATCCTGGAGATCAGGGGCCACGATATCTACGCAATCCGCCTCTGCCAGTGCAGGGTGTACTGGTCGGGCCCCTGCGCTCCAAACCCAGCGGCGCCAAATCTGATAGAGCGGCAGAAGAAGGTCAAGCTCTTTTGCCTGGAGTCGTTTCTCAGCGGTAAATACAATTAAGAGAACTGAATATTAAAACGAGAGAGTATCTTTACCAAAGTAGCACATTTAAAATGTTGATGCAGACCCAGAGGGTCGTCATTTGAACTTTTCTAAAGATTAATGCAATATTTTTACCATCAGAGGACAAATATCAATTTGTGTCATCTGTCCCCACAACCTATAGCGGCCATGAGGAATAGCAGTAATGGAGTCTAAAAATAATTTTCCAGTTTTGGACAGACTTTATTTCCTGCTTCTTTGTCCAATAGTTGGATTGATCTGTTTGTCCATCCATTAATCATCGATCCATGGATGATTTATTTATCCTTCTACAAATCTCTATCATCCATCTACACATCAGTTCATCTCATGTTTATCTGCCCATGTTTTTATGACCCATTTATCCATTTTCCATAGTGAAATAAATCTGCAAAAGAATTTAAAGTTCTAAAACGTTAGTGTGTAGGAACCCTGTGATGATGTTTTAGAGTAACATCATAACTATAGTTTTCCTTTATTTCTGTTATGCAGGTGTTATAGCGCAGCAGCGTGGCCAGGCGACCAGCCCTCCTCAGTTTGAAATCAGCCTCTGCTTTGGAGAGGAATATCCCGATGGAAGACCCAAAGAGCGAAAACTCATCATGGTCCAGGTGAGAAAAACAGGAATTTAATTTGTACTTTTTAAATGAAGAAACATTCAGAAACTGCAGTCACAAAACCACACCATTTTGATTTCATAAAAACCCAGCANGCTGCAGAACCACCAGGGCCAGGCTCTGCAGTCAGTGAAGCTGTGAATCAACTATTGTGTACAAAACATCAGCTTTTTCTTGTGAAACTGTGCTATGCAGATGGCTGGTGGTTCTGCAGGCCAGTCAGTCCATCTCACTGCAGAGGAATATATATTGTAGAGAATAAAATCATTAACTTCTGGCTTGTCTTCTCTTGTCCTCCTGAATTCAATGATTCCATGTGTGGAAATAAAAGCCACATAAAAATGACAGTCAGTGCTCCACATCATACATTTTCAGAGTTTATCCTAACATTTAAAAGTATAAAATCACATTGACAACACACTAAAACAGACATTAATTTACCTGAGACAAATGGAAAAGGAGGTGGAAAGCAAAGATGTCTTTGGAGAATTTCAAAAGCAAATCTAGTTTGTTCCTCACGTGCACAAACTTTGATAGTAACAGCATATTCTTTTTAATCTATTCAAATAAAGCGTATCTTTGTTCATCCAACCAGGAGCTGTCTCAACCCTCTTAAATGTTAAACTCCCTACAATTTGTTTTCAAGATCAAACACCAGTTGTCACCTTTAAATAAAGTGGAAGCAGAGCTTCTCCTCCACTGACATGAACTTGTGCTGTTTTATGGCTTTTCACAGATCAGTGTGAAAGCTGGAACTTCTGATTCCCACACAAAGGGCAGATCAGAAGCTCTAGCGGGCAATCTGCTGTAACTACAGGTAAAGGTCAATGGGGCAGATTAAGTTATTCTGAAAACTAATTGGGACATTACAATAAAGACATGTTAACTAGGAGGGATTATAAATTTGTGTCTTACAGATATTCTGTTTTCAGTTTTACACCAGCTGCTTAAATCTTATCAAGGTGGTCAAAAGGTTAACCCACTGACACAGTTTACTCAATCGATATGCATGTGAAAAAAAGACCAGATTTACTGGAGAAAAATGTCTGAGAAATGCAGAACATAGCTGACAGTATGCTGACATCTGCTGGTGACTTTCAGTCAAGCCTTCATTCAAGGTACCAGATTTTCTTTGCATTTATTGCAGTGACTTTGGTCTTAATGTATGAATATTCTGGGAGGGTTTGAGGGTCTTTGAGCTTCAAAGGTATTTAAACAACTCCAGGCCTGTTTTTGTGTACCCATCTTTAATATCTGATTTTTTTTTTCAACTTTTCTCCCCATATTTATTGGTTTGCTTTAGCTAGAGTTATCAGCAGAAATGATGGCATTTATTTATAGATTAATTGTATGTTTTTAAAATACACAGCCCTGGAAAGAATTAAGAGCCACTGCACTGAGCCCCGTTGAAAACCACCTGGTTTTTCCACCAAATGTTGATCTCTGAACTCTTCCTGAATTAAAACATTATTGTTGTTGTTTCTAAATGAACATGAACTGGTTTTCTTTGCATTATTTTAGGTAGGAAAGCACTAAATTTTTTGTTATTTTGACTCTTTCTCATGTTCTGCAAATAAATACTAAATTGTTGCTTGGAATTTCAGAGACATGTCAGTAGCTCATAGAATAAAAGAACAATGGATATTTTACTCAAACATATAACTATAAAATAAAATCAGAGAACTGATCATTTTGCAATGAACTCTTCATTTTTTCCAGAGCTGCATATATTAGTAGCTAACAATTTTACAAAATTGGAAAGATAAACTTAGCAGAAAAAGAATTTACTCCTGTGTGCTTCTCATCAAACACATTTTCATACAGTTAAAGATATGCTTCAAAGATGCAAAATGTTTATTTTCAGGATTATGATGTCATTAGTTTGTGTAAAGTGAAGCCATCTAACCTAACCGCTTCATCTTTGGCAGTAACAGAGCCATCAAGCCCTAACAAACAATCTTTTATCACTGTGGATGAATTTTAAATTTCTCTACTTAGCAAACCTTTTCACATTTTCTCATATCGGATGGCTTTTAAGCTTGAATAACATTTCTCGGGTAAAGCTTCACCATTTTAAATTGGTGTAGCATTACATTAAATCCATTTTAAGATGGATTTAACTTGTTTAGGTCTCTTCAAAACCTGCTTTATGTCATGGCTTATATCCAAAACCCAAAGTTTTTCTGCATTTTCTTGGGGTGTGAATCAGACTTTTCTTATAAACTCTTACCTAGAAAATCAAAACCTTAACACGATGCACACTAGATTCTTTTTTTTAAGCTTTGTTGCGCTTGAAGTGTCTTGAAGGTTTTGGGGATTTGGTTTTGTGTACGTCTGTGTTTTTGCTGTTCCTCTTTTTATTTATCTGTTTTACTCTTCTTGTCTGTTTGTTACTAATTTTTGTTAGATGTTTCTCTTTCTGGTGTTTCTTTACTTCAGCCCCCCTGTGGTGCTCCCCAGTTGTCTTATTTTATTATCCTTTTATGTCTGAGTCTACGTCTATCACTCGTTGTGTTTCTAGTTGTTTATTTCTTTGTTTAGTCCTTTTGGTAATTCTAATTTCTGTGATCCTGATTTCTCCTTGTTATTATTTTCTCAGTTCGGAAACAAGGCTGTATGGAGTCTCTTTCTAGTTTATTATGAGTCTTAGAGTTTATGTAGTGTTAAAATTATTTCCAGCTGCCCTTGTTTTTCCTCTCTCACTTTTTTGTGTTTCCCTGAGTATCTTCCCAGTTTCTCTGTCTCCTGCTCCAGCCACTCTCTCCTTTAATCAGTCTCATGAGCTCATGTCTTTGTTTCGCTTTCCCACTTTCCCTCTCATTCTCTACCACAACTTGCAAGATCCTCATGTTCACTCCTGTCTTTCCTCATGTCTTTAAGCTATGACTTAAATGATTCTGAAGACAAAAGTTTGTGCAACATGGTCACAATAATCACTTGTAAGTTTTTAAATCCCTATTTAGACTCTGCGTTATCTCGAACCTGTCTGAATCCGACATGAAACGATGAAAATCATCTGAGAAGCTGCAGACGGCCGACACCGAAATGACTCACCTTGAGCCATAACCCACACAGTCTCCCCTTCAGTGCTTTCCAACACCCCCATCTCTAAACACATTAGCATCACAGAGGCAACAGGAGCATGAATCTCTGAGGACAGAAACTAAATATGGAGATGCGGAGGACACGAGGGGGAAGGCTCCACAGGGTTTCAGGGTGTGGTTTTGTAAATATCAGCCTGGTTTGAATCCTTCTACTCACAGAATCATCATCCAACAGTTTCTTTGTTTTGTTTTTTTTTTTTTTTTTTTTTTTTTTTTTTTTTGTTATTGNTATATATATATATATATATATATATATATATATATATATATATATATATGTGTGTGTGTGTAATGTTCTGTCAAGAGTGTATCAACTCTGTCTAGACACCGATTTAAACCACAGCAAATGACGTGAAGTAAGGTTGACCATTTATTGTTGGCTTCCTCTTTACATGCTGCAGTGAAAACTGCAGACAGAATGAACACAAAACAATACAAAACTTAGTTCTGTCTGAGCAAACCTTACATACAGTACATACATTTAACACAATTATGACCTCTGCAGTCAACTGAAATGTACCATAAGCAGTCAAATGAAAAATACCAGTCACAATAATGAAACATTAGCGTTTTAACAAAATAATATCTGACACATCTTAAGTAGCATATATCTTATCATAAAACATCACTTACAGCATTACTTCAGCTGAGCTTCTTTGTGGATGGCAAAAGATTAAATGCTGAAGACAAAATAATATCCAGCCATGATTGCTGCAGCTCCAAAAACCCCCAGGAAATTACTGAACACGAAGTTAGATACTGCAATGGTTCTTCAAAATAAAAGCCTTCAAATTTACTGCAGCTACAAATAACTAAAAATGCCATCAAACTTACTATATCCATAAAGTATTAAAGAAAAATGCTGTAAAACAGTACAACATATCTATGTATCTATCTGTCTATATATATATATATATATATATATATATATATATATATATATATATATATATATATATATATATATATATATTATGTTGCATCCAAAAAAACAGATGGAAAGTTGAAAGGAAGGAAAAGGTGCAGCAGAAAAATCTGAACCCTTATCAAGGATTACTGAGTGAAATGAATGTAAATGAATGTGTGTACCGGTAGTTAAGCCTAAAAGCCTGAAATTTTGCTAATTAGGCCCAGATTCGTGCTTAAAATATTTCGTTTGATTTACCAACATGCTTCTCATGAAGGCAGCTAAAGATTACAATGTGACCCTGCAACATCAACTCCTTAGATTTCAATATTTAATACTAATAAATTGTGAAAATAACAATAGAAACAACAAAAGCTGGCCAGCCATTACAAGACCTGTGCAACTGTTTGCCACTTAGCAAAAACATCCTGGAGTCTTTCTGCATGGACTTTGGATGTGTAGTTATGGGTACTGCGGCTTCCGCCAACAGTTCAAAAACATTGGCGCTTGAGGACTGGGTGTCAAACTCCAGTCCTCAAGCGCCGTTGTACTGCAGTTTTTAGATGTGCCACAGAAATGAAATGGCTTAATTAAATCCTCCTTGTGTAGATATGTTCTCCAGAGTCTTGCTAATCACCTAATTATTGAATTCAGGTGTGGTGCAGCAGATGTACATCTAAAAGTTGCAGGGCAGTGGCCCTCCCCGACTGGAGTTTGACACCTGGCTTGTCCTTAGGTGAGTGTGTTCATGGCTGTTTGTCCTCTCTCTGTGTTGGGCTGGAGAACTTTCCAGCCAAACACCAAAAATAACATATTTTAATGTTATTTTCAATTATAAAAAAATGTATATATAAACTTTTTACTACTCGGTTTATGTCAGCTTAGTAGCTGCAATACTTTAAAAAAACAAAAACCTCTTGCATGTCAAGAAAGGTAGAGCACATATTTCTGTAGTTATGTTCAGCTCGGGATTCTCTTCGTCTTGGACTGAGTCGCTCACATCCTGTCCACTTGTTGTACATCGTGACAAACCAACACCGCGCTGCTCAGAAAGTGTATGAGGTTCCATTTGTGTCAAAAATAAGTAGAAGTCATATGACACAAATGGAACCCCATACTAGGGTGTGTCGCCGGCGTGACGTCACGTCTGCTACCTGAGTTTCGGTGAAGAGAAGGGATTTAAGGGCCGAGAAACGCACTCGCACGTATCGGCTCCTCAACGTGTTTTAGGGTGATGAACGTGGAGTGGGTCTGTGGGAGTTTGGACCTGCACACGGGACACGGATGGCTTTCTTCCCAGCTGCCCAACAAGGAAGGCTTACTCCTGCTTCAGCACAAGTAAGTTTGATCGTTTTTTTCAAGAGCTTCATTTTTCTTTGTCGATTTTCTTGCCGCATTATTACTGCTCGTTTAAAGATTCATGAATCTTTTGGAAGTAAATCAGTTGCACGGTGGTAACAAGTTAAAGGCCTCGCTGTCGGTCAGACGTCAGAAGCCAGGCAGCTTCCATACGTTTGGAAAATCCGTACTTGCAGGATTTGTGGTGTTGCATTGTTTAGTGGTTTGGCAGTTTAGAAAATTACACTCATAACAGGGCGGACTGGCTGGTTTATAGCCAACTGTGTGTTTTTTAAGTCGCTTTAATTATATTTTTCTGTATTTAGTCGGCCAGGATGGCGGTCACCTCTCGACGCATCCGCCTCAAGCCGTGGCTGGTGGCCCAGGTGGACAGCGCTCGGTACCCGGGTCTGGTTTGGGTCGACCGGGAGGCCATGCGCTTCAGGATCCCCTGGAAACACGCCACTAGACACACACTCCAACACGAGGACACCATATTTAAGGTAAATATTTATTTAGATTGTCTCGGCTGAAGGAAAATCGGTTTAAAATGAGAAGATTTTATCTTGGGACTCACAACTATATGCCTTTTTGCTTAAGAGATCCCGACTTTTCTCGAGACGCCGAGAAACTTTATCCGTATCAGGATCGGTACATAACGACATAATCACAGTGATGGAGGACACTCTATAGATGTATAGATTTTTATTTCGAGCTTGAGCATAAAGGCATCAAATCAGTCCTTGACATCAGACATGGTTTTTGTATAAGTGAGGCATCTGAAGAGGGTTTTCAGTGCGCGGGGACTCATTCGGTGCAAGTCCTATTCCGACTTAGTTTTGGTTGAATTTATTCATAACCAGCTGCAGAACCCTGGACAGCTACACGGTTACCGATGGATGTACGCTAAATGCAGAGAGCATGAACTTCGTGTGAAAAAATATGTGCGCTTGGTGTAAAAGGATCCCCAAGCGTGGCAGACGGAGAAATTACTTTTGTCTCTTTGCATTATATCTTCCATAGGGCCGCAGTAAATGGTGCTAGTCGTCCATTTCGCGGGATCTCGAGAAAATAAGTCGGGATTTCTTTTTTTTTTTCTCCTTGACCCCTTTGGGGCTCCGTAAAAAAACGGCAACAATCATATCCTGCGTCTATTTTTTTGCGTTTTGTACATTGTGAAATATTTTCTGTAAATGAACTTGAGCTGTTATTTTTTCTGAAAGTTGTGATGAATAAAACCGGTGACTTAAATTAAATGTGTCTCTAACAATCAATTGTCAGCATCTGTCGCTACCAAATGAAGTATTTTTAAAAACATTTGTTTTATAAGGTTTGATTTTGATGGTACCTCTGTAAAGCTACCTGAGCCCAGAATATAGCCTGGTTAAAGTGATCACATGATCATTTTCATGTCTGATCAGATTTTTTTTATTCATTTTAGATTTAAAATGTCATTATTACAAGTCTTTAATTCAGTTGAAACACAACTTTTCCAACCCTTGCATTTATTTTGTTGCACGTCTTCTGCTTTTTGCACTTATTGTGATCAATGCAACACCAATCGGTAAATATTTAGAACAATGAGACGTTCTGGAACATATAAAAATGTAATTGATCTCGTTTCTGTGACTGCTTCGTCCAGGCGTGGGCTGTGGAGACCGGGAAGTTTCAGGAGGGAGTTGATGAACCTGATCCCGCCAAGTGGAAAGCCCAGCTTCGGTGCGCCCTGAACAAAAGTCGGGAATTCAAACTGGTCTATGACGGCACCAAAGAAGTCCCCATGAATCCCTTTAGGGTGTACGAAGTCTGCGACATCCCACAACCCTACAGTGACCAAAGTACAAAGTTCTTCAGATGTTTTAGGGATTTTCATTGTTTTTCCATCTTTCAATGTTTTTGTTTTCCCGATAGCTCCTTCAGATGCAGGATCACATACTCCCTACGATGAGGATTTTGGAGAAGATCGCACACCAGATTCTCTTCCTCCATATCCATCCAATGGTGATTGTTTACAGCCTTATATTGTTGCAAATACGAGGAGGAATTGATGGAAAACAAAAACTAATCTTTCCTCTTTTAGGCACCAGTCCTTCTCCACTCATGTGGCCTCCGATGGGTTCCCGTTCTTCCATCCAGCCTCCCTGCTGTCCACCTTCGAATGAGATCTGGCCCAAAGAGGAGCCCGCAGATGTAGAGCTGCCCCCTGCCCCTCTGCCTGACCCCATCCTGCAGCCGGCTCCTCTTTCTGATGTCTTTGTCTCTCCAGAAATGTGGATCAGCTCCCTCCCAAGTTAGTGTGAACAACTTTATCCCCTTTCAGAAATCAACTTTGTCACACAAAAACTAGTTGACATTTGTTTTGAAAGTTTAGCTGCAGAATTCAATTTCAAAAAAATCTAAATTTAGTAAAATAAGGTTTTAAAAACTGAAAAGGGCATGAAATATTGATGCCTTTCTGGATCAGGTTCTCTAAAACAGATGGAAGTGATTTTACTATCCATCTTTTCTTAAATCATCCACAAACAGGTTAACTTTGCCAGATCATCTCTTTGTCTGCCTGCAAGTTTTTCTGTTTTTTTTAACCATCATGTTTATGGTAAATTACTAAATCACACTTTAATAAATAATTTGCATGTATTAAAAACCATTGATCAGTCATTAATAGACTTGCTAAAGACCCAGTTTCCAGACCTTGTGGGAAATCATCTGAACATGGAGATTTACAGCCGTTTTTACAGTCCCTCATTTTACCGTCTCCAGTTTTTGTATTTTGAAAACATGAACTGCAGCCTCGGGGTACATAGTTACACGTTGCCATGCAGAAGTGACTAAGCTTGTAAAAACCTGTTGAAGTGTTTTGTCATTCAAAACACTCCTCCTTTGAGGAGCAAGGTTTGCCATCTCGATCTCCACCAAGATCTCTTTCATGAATGCAGACTGCATGCAAGGTGGAGATAAGAACTCCTGCAAGCCCACTTAAAAAAAAAAACAACTTTGTTGCACTTTTTGTATTTCAGGTCATGAAATGGGAGTTAAAAACAAATGGTGGATTCAAGCCAGAATTATCCTGATCTCTACGATTGTTTGGGGAAAATATACGACGGACAAACTGAAGAGACAAAAGTATTTTTGGAAGTTGTGCATCATATCTGGGGTAAAATCACCCCAGAAAAGTGACAATTTGATTTGGTGCTACTTTGTCTTAGGATCTGGGTGACTGGTCATATTTGATGGAAGCATAAGTTGTGCGTCAGAAAATCCTTTAGGTCAGAGGTTCCCAAACCAAATTTTGCTGCGACCTGAGTGGGAACCGTCGGATAAGGCTTGTTGGTGTTCCTGCTAAATCCTGAATATGCCCAATTTGGGTTGTCTTGGCCTTTTTATCGCAGCCTGTGTGGTTTCCCTTACTGGGAAAGAGAATACAACCTGTTGAATGTGACAGGTAGCCAATCAGAAAGCGCTGTGATGTAAGAACAGAGGGGAATCCCAAACAGCTGACATATCGCGCAACTGAGAATCCAGTGGATATCAGAGATGACATGTGGAAATGTTTATTATTATATGTAAAGGTCATTTTTAACTGAATAAACATATGTTTATGTTTATTCAGTTAAAAATGTTAACTATGAAAAAACACAGTCGCCTCCAAATCATAGTGCAGCAAATAGAGCGGCTGCTCCCGCTATCTATTATCCACCGCCTTTTCTTTTTGTTACGTCTTTTATCTCTTAAAATGACTCCACAAACTGTCACTATTGAACTACATCGTCATCCGTGTTTGGTCATTCCAAATTCCCGTATGCTATGTTGGGGGTTTTACTGGATTATCCTCTGGAATCGGGATGTTCGTGTGGTGTGTTCCTCCTGCCTTGGACACACGAACCGATCGAACCTGTTGGACTTTTATCAGCTCTGTGGTCACAGAGGTTTGGAGAATCGGCCGACATTCTTAAATCTTGCCGTCTCACAAGCTCTACTCATCTCCTCTCGACCACTGCCCAAAAGCTCTGACTCTGGTCGCTATGGTAACTTTTACATATCCCTTCAAAATAAGATACAGATGCGCCACAAAAACGAGCATTTTACTTTCGTGAAAATTTTAACTCACGATAATGACTAACGGAGCCCTGAGCTTGTTTCTCTGCAACGAGACGGTAACATCAGGGAGTGATGAGAGACAAT